AGTACCTTCACCTTTCACCCTTGTGATCATGGGCTTTATTCTGTAAGCTAGGCACCGCTTTAGACCATAGGAAGGAGGTTCATGTGCGGTTGTCAGCTACTGGAGTACATCTGCCTTCATGATGAGGGCTGATATCCAAACTATTTTCAGTTAACTACATTCCGAGGTTTAACACCGCACACAAAGAATGTCCAGAATATACTTATTCACAAGTCATGTCTCCTTGAAAGACAGCTCTTGAAAGAGATGGGCAGGAACTTCTGGGAAACCAGTGAGGGTGGTGGTCTCTTGATTCAATTCATTAAGAGACAGAGAGAGAAAGGAAAGCCCACAACAGAGGCATGCTAACAGAAGCTAACCAGACGCTCCTTCCCCAAGCCCTGCTCACTGCAGTTGCTTTTTAAATGTCTATCATGTTTAAGCCCGCAAAAGAATACCGAGAGTACTGTCCCTGGGTCAAGTGTGGATTAACTATGTTGGGCCTGGAGACATGTCTTAACAGGTACAGGCACTTGTCACACAAGACTGGCAACCTGAGTTCAAGCCCGAGAACCCATGCTCAGGTGCAGGAGGAGGCTGAGTAGAGAAGCTGCCTCCGACCTCCATGTGTGCCGAGGCTCACCCTCCCTGCACCAGGGTGGTTTTTTTTTGTTGTTGTTGTTTTTAGGTTTGTTTGTTTGGTTGGTTGCTTGGTTTTTGTTATTGTTGTTGTTTGTTTTTTGTCTTTTCAAGACATGGTTTAATCTATGTAGCCTTGGCTGTCCTTGAACTCACTTTGTAGACTAGGCTAGCCTCAAACTCAGAGATCCTCCTGCCTCTGCCTCCTCGAGTGCTGAGAGTGCAGATGTGCACGTCTGGCACAGTCAGTACTTATTATTGTAAAAAGCTGACTATGTTAAGGATGCAAAGTGTGCTCAGCCCATAGTACGGTCCCTTCAAACCGAATCCACGCTGCCCAAGGAGCAGAGGAAGAACACAGAGGAGAGGCTTGTGTTTCCGCGAGTCGTCACTGTGTGGACACAGATTATTCCAGGCTCTACTGCGAAAGCCCTTGTGGCACTATCATTACATGACAAATACAAGTCCTCAGATGCAACAGTTTAAAAATACAGTCAATTTAACAAGACGCGGCAAAATGGTAGAGGAAGGGAATATCTTTCTCTGCAGAAGGAAGTGGTAATGAAAAAGTGAGCTTAGAGTCCTGCTTTCCAGAAGGAAAACACACATGCAAACAAGTTTTTTTTAGTGTTTTTCAAATTTCTTCTGCTGTTGAAGTCATCAGAATTTTACAAAAGTAACAGGCCAACTGATATACAAGGCATACAGCCTCTACTTGACCATGACTTTGGTTGCTAATGCCTCTAGTTCTCTCTGGAACATATAGGTCCAAAAGAGGACAACTATACAATAAAGGAATGGATGAAGCCAGATGATACCATTTCTATATTTGATACCAATCTTGGGAAATGTATAGACTTTCATTTTTATTGAGAGCCCACAACTTCAATATCATTATTATTTCATTTACATAACATCCAGAAGATCAAACCCCAGAATGGCAAGACCAGTGAGCGAAGTATTTCTGAGGGATCATTTTTATTGTGTCTGCCTAGGTAAGTTTTCTAACTCCACCACAGTAGGGTAATGACTTAATTTCACCCTGTGACTACCATGGAGGATCTCAAGTCTAAAAGTAGAAACATGGTTGTGTGTGGAGAGGCAGAGGATCAAAATATAATGACTAAATAAAGACTTTGTGACTTTTAAAATTAAATCATGTGTTTGTCGCTTTCCTGGCAGCTACAGAAGAACAGGCACCGAGGTGTTTCTAAAAGATTTTTAAAAATGGATGAGTGATGGGACGTGCTTAGGCTCACTTTAGATTTGGCATCAAGTAATTAATTTTTTGATATCACTCTGGATTCTCAGTGCTGAATGTATTTGGACTTTTAAGAAGCTAAAGACCTGAGCGTGTCAGTCAACTCATTTACAAATTATGGTGCTTCAGGCTTTTACCAGCAAGGCTCTGTCAGCTGCTCAGAGCATCTGCAAAAAACGCTACAGCTATGTAGTCACTGGGCTCCGTTGCAGGGCTGCTGTTTGTATCTCAAGTTCTAGAGAGTCAGCTTTCAGCAATATTTTCTCTTCTCCCAGCAGGAAAGATTTAGTCCACATATTTTCTTTTTCTTTTTATTTTTTTCTTTTTTCAGTCTAAAAAGAATTGTTGCTGTGGGGGAAAGTAGCTTGATTATTGACTTCTTAACTAACCTGTTCAGTCACGTCAGTCCACACACCTGAGATCCTCTGTGTACATTAACAGCTGTGGAAGGTGTATTCCACTCCCGTTCCCAGTGAGTGTGACCAAAAGGTGCTTCTTTGTCAGGTTTTCGAATAAGTGTAGGGAACCCTGAGGTACTCAAGACAACTGCCTTCAACTCAGTTTCAGTTAGACATGTGTAAAAGTGAAAAACCAGTCAAAACCAAGAGTTGCTGGATGAGAAGTGGCGGATGGCTGCACAGAAGCAGGAGAGGTGCTTGGTTGGGCTGGCGACTGGAGGAGGGACGCTCTTCTTCACCAGAGAGGCAGGGCACTGGCGAACACTGGCTGTGTGGTAAGGCAGCCCTGATGCCTGTGCCCGCCACGTTGGGGTTAGCTCTCAGTCACAGCAGCACTGCTCCGGCCAACAGCTGTGATTTCCCTTGTGAAATG